ATGAAGCATAGAAAGAATTATAGCTTGTCAATACTTGGAGGTCTACAGGTTTCTTGTGTTGGATGTCGTACTGTGCTTGACAATTTCTCTAAACAAAGCATGAATCTTTTTTCAATTAACTGAATTATTTAATAGCTGATGCCAGAGACATAGAACATATGTCCTGGCCTTGCTTAGTGGCGGCATTAAAAAAATCAGTGCTATTCTTATGTTTTTATCTAATTCATTTCAGTACCACCTTAACTGAATAAGAAAGGGGCAAGTAATTATAATTAGGAATATGGATCCAACAGATTTCCTCTCACTTCACAAGGGAAAAAAGATTGCACTGAGTAAGGTAATTATTTATTTTCTATTAGATGTATACTGTCTCTTTCTCCAAAGAATTGGGGGAGACACATGATTCTTTCCCCCTTCCACTGATGACGAGATTAACCTGTGATCTAAATTAAACTGATTCTCATCCTGTACAGACCATATTTTGTTCCACACATAACACTAAGCCAGGGGTGTTAAACTCAAGGCCTGGGGACTAGATCCAGCCCATGGGATGCTTAGATCTGGCCTGCGGGGCTACCCTGGAAACAGTGAAGGACCTGCCTTTGGTGCCTCTGCACTGTTTTTGCTGACAGAGAGTTTAGGAGGCCCTCACAACCAAAAATGGAGCTTTTGAGGACCACAGGCAGCACTCCCAAGCTCCATTTTCTCTGGCAGAGGGTTGCAAGAGGCCATTTTCGCTGGCAGAGTGCTCGTGCCATTACCAGCACCCCCCACATGAGTGATGTTGAGCTGGCCATGCCCACCCTGGCCCCCCCCCCGAGGTCAAACACAACCTTGATGTGGCCTTCAATGAAATCGAGTGTGACCCTCCTGCACTAAGCCATTAAATCATTTTTAACCATTTTCTTGCTGCAAAGCCATAATGTCTAAAACTAAATAGTCAAATAATAGTCTAAATAACTAACCATAAATAACTAATAGTAAAGCTGTGCTTCCCAAAATGTGATCTGTGATCCAATTAAAAGTTCTTTTGAAGAAAAAAAAAGTACAGGTCCTTGGAAAAATTCAGAATAAGTCATTTCTTTGCCCTCTGACCAGAACAATGTAGTCACAATCTTGCCAACATAGTGATTGGAAGAAAGGTTGGAAGAGCACTGGCAGGATTGCACTGGGTATTCCTCCAATAAAAACTTTTATTAGCTCCATATAAAGTTTGAAAATTAATAGCCAAGATAGATTAGCTGCATATTATTGGCAAAGATACAATCATTCTTTTGTTGAACATTGTTGTAGCCCAGGTTTATGGACAAAAGCAAACAAATTAGTTGCATTTATTGTATTTATTCAACAATTCAATGAAAGAGAATTGAAAATATTGAGGAAACTCTTGTACATCAAATACACAATAGTCAAGTGTTTCGTATTACAAATAGATGAAAGTAGAGACTGAAAGTAGAGATTAGGAGGTTGATGGAGGGGAAAAAAACATCTGCCTGGGAATTTGCAGTAGGCTGTGCGGGGGAAGTTCCAAATAATTCCAATAATCACAGAAAGCAGAAGTTCTTAGTAATCTGCCAAATATGAGCTGGTGGTGGGTTCCTACCGGTTCGGACCAGTTCAGCCGAATCAGTGGTGGTTTGGTGGCCTGGGTCGCTGTAACCGGCAGCAACCCAGGCCTGCCAAACCCCTGAATCGGTTCTCCGGGCGGCACCATGTTGGCACCACTATCTTGTTTTTGCTTCTGTGCATGCGAAGAACAATTTTTATTGCACTGTGCATGTGCTCGTAGCGTGCATGTGCATTTTTGCACTGTGCATGTGCCCACAGCGTGCTCACAAGCAAACCAGCAGTGTTGCCTGCCGGAACTCACCCCTGCTATGAGCAATATGAATCCTTCTGCCTGAAAATGTGGAGACTCTAGAAAGAGTGCAGAGAAGAGCAACAAAGATGATTAAGGGACTCAAGGATAAAACATAAGGAACGGTTTCTGGAACTGGATATGTCTAGTCTTATGAAAAGAAGAACTAGGAGTGCCATGATAGCAGTGTTCCAATATCTCAGGGGTTGTCAGAAAGAAGAGGGNATCAGCAATTATTCGAAAGCATGCATGAGAACAAATGCAATCTGATGCAGGTATGCACATTTATTATTTTATGGGATCAATTATGCACACAAACTGTGCCACTTATGAAATGGACTAAAGAGCAAATTACACCAACATATTCAAAATCTGAACAAAAAGAAAGGAGGCAAACATCCCTGGTTCAGGCCACCATCTAGCTAGCAGTTTCAGTACAGTATGTAGCATTTAAAAGAGAAAGAATGTCCCTAAAATTAGAAGCATACCACTACAGAATAATACTGCAATAATATAAAAATCATAGGATGGCTGAAGCAAAGACTACGGTGTGTAGATAATATTTCATTATTATTAGATTTTCACCGTTTGTGTATACAGTACATACACCTACCCATCCATCCATCCATCCATCCATCCATCCATCCATCCATCCATCCATCCATTCATCTATCTGCAGTGAATATACCTAATATTCCTGGTTTCTATTTTTCCTACAAATGCTGTGAGTTGGGTTGGACCAAGAGTGACCGGTCCAAAATTAACCAGCTGGCTTTCATGACTAAGGAAGCGTAGAATTCACAATCTCTTGAGTTCTTGGCCAACACCTTAACCACTACGCCAAATGACTCTGTTTAGAACCATTTGCCAACATAATACTTTTGTTCTATACCGTGGTATATTCCTTCCTTGCACATGTCTTCAAGCAACATTGAAATAGCAGGTATAACTGGGAGATCGAAGGCCTATCCTGTTTTAACATATGTTGTATGCATTGCACACAGAAAAAGGGGCAAGACTTCCATTGCCCAGATAATAACCACCATTTTGTTTTTGTTCACCCTTCTCTGCAGATACCCAAATGGAGATTTAAAATGGATTTTTACCAGTCTTCTACAACTTGGTATTCTACAGATGTTCTACAACTTTTAGAAATCCAGTTTTTACCCTGCAAATGACATCTATACATAGAAATGAGTGATTTGTATACTAAATGAAGCAAATTTGCACTATTGCCCTTTTTCAAGTAAAAAAGATTCCGTACTAGTCTACAAATGATGTCTAACATACCTCCCCACCCAAATCAATTTCTGACAATAATTTCCTTTCTTCATTAGACCAAAGTCCATTAGGTTCATTATTCTACTTCCAATAGGATCAAAGGGACGCTTTTAATGTTCATGATCAAAATCCAAAAGGAAATAACATTCCCTAAAATTTGCTCCTAGTACCTGTTACGCAAAAATAGGATTACTCACTAGGTTTAATTCACATTGGCATATCAACCTATTACTCCATTAATTTGTCTTTTTAAAGAATCAAAAAGCATTTACTTACAATCCCAAAGATGGTTTTTCAAAAGGAAAACTGGTCTTTAGGGTTTTGGTTTTTTTTGAAAGTCCAGTTGCCTTTTGAAAAAGCATCTTTGGGACAACCATGACCTGGATGGCTAAGAATCATCATAGACATTTAATAACACCAACTGCAACCTATCACTCTATGTTGTGATTAGAAGACCATCCGTTTTTCATGATAGTCAGTGAAAAACTCAGATGTCATGCTGGCATATTGCTATTCATGTTACCCAACAACTGGTATCAGAAGTATCCTGTCTATCTAGAGCAGTGGGTCTCAAACTTCCTAATGCCGCGACCCTTTAATACAGCTCCTCATATTGTGGTGACCCCCAACCATAAAATTATTTTGTTTTCCATATTTTTTTGAAAACATGTTTTCCTATGGTCTTAGGCGACCCCTGTGAAAGGGTCGTTCGACCCCCAAAGGGGTCCCGACCCACAGGTTGAGAACCACTGATCTAGAGATAAAAAGGAAATCTCATTACTTACAGCCATTGATAATCTTATCATATAATTGAGTCTAACACATTTTAGACATCCTGCTGACAAAATATCTTTACTCATATTTAACTGTTCCATAGTTTACTCATTTAACCCTTGTTTCTGATTTGCATTACATTGTTTCAACAAAACACCCTCACCGTTGTTGCCTTAGTGCCAAATGGTCAAATAATCATGCAAAGGCTACAATGTGGTTGGCAACCTTGTACTCCCAAGTACCATACCAATGGCTAGGGTAGAGGTTCCTGAACTTTCTTGGTTCATGGCATCCCTTTGCAGTTCCCAAACTATTTGTTATGGCACCCAGGACACTGTAGTCAACTAACAATTCCATTTATTATTTAGAAAAATATCCTGTGATACCCCTGTGAGTTCACTGTGATGTCCTCATGCATAGTTTGGGAACACATTATGCCAAGGTTCAATTATTCTGTCATCAAAACAAGTTGTTAGATGATGTCCACATCAAGCCAAATAACCAAGAGATGCCCATAGTTTGGGGACCCTAAAGACCAATTCAGTTTATTCATGCATGCAAATAGAATTTGATTTGAGGTTAAACTGTAGCCATGGGAATCCATAGCATGGCTTATAATGATGTACGAATCTTTACACAAATGATGCAACTTACATACTTGTGTCTGATGTTCTTTTTTTTTTCTCAAGGACATTATGACCCACCAGTTGTCATTTTGAAATTGCTTTTTAGAGCTAATGACTAAGGCAAGTATTTATTTTTTTTAGTGAAGAATGCTTATGGTCTTGTCTTATACTTTCATTCTCATGTTTCCAAATGGAAATGCGTGTGAAACTGCCCTAGCATTTTTCAGCTATCATGGTCAGCAGTGGTGCCCAGAGCCACCAACATTGACAGGTGACTTGAGGCCTTAAGATCTTGAGAATGCCTGCTGTTCTAAGCCAGAAGCTGCCAGAGCAGGCAGGTTCAACACGACAGACCAAGGCAAAGCAAACCCAACCAGATCGGACCGGGCATAACTGCAGGACCGAGAAGGAAGCCAGCGAGGGCACCCTTGCCTGAGAGAAGCGGGCTCTGGTCTCCTTACCGCGGTTGTCTCGGTTTCGCATGGTTGCGTAAGCGTTGTAAACCTCCCGTCTGATATAGTTCAGGAAGCCGTCCTTCTTGGCAAACCTGCAGACCAAGGCCTGGTCGTAAAGGCAGTCCAGGAGGAAACAGCTCTGAATGCCGTCGGAGTCCTCCCCGGGGCTCTGCTCCACCAGGGCCAAGTTGCAATTGGGGTTCTTGCAACAGGCGCGGACGCAATCGCGGTTGCTTTCCACCGGCGGCGAACCCAGGAAAGTGGCGCCGTTCTCCACCGAGGCATTCGTGTCCAGCACAAACTCCGGAAACCCGGCCGTAAATTGAGCAAGGCACATTTCTCCAAACGAGACTCCTTCCCCATTGTGTTCCTCACCAAGAACCAGGCCAGTTAAAAAAAACCAAGTCACCAAGAGTCCGGCCTGAAGCCGGCTCCTACTTCGGCCCATCTCAGCCCAAACGAACCAAATGGCGCAGTTCCCCGAGCCGAGGGCTTTCCGAGGCCGAAAACAACGGAAGGCCGCCAAGCAGAGAGCCGAGAAAAGGCTCCGGACGCGCAGGAGCCTTAGCCTCCGTCCCCTCCGAGGGTCCTTTTCTCCAGTTGGGGTCCCTGGGTGGACTCGAGCGCTTCTGCCAGCAAGGATTCCCCGAGTTGCCTTCTTCCTCTTCTTCGGGGCGAGATCGCCGCCCTTAAGAGTCTCTGCCCCCACGTCTGGAAGGCACCCTTCGCCCCTCTTTGCAGACGGTCGAAGGCTGGGGAACCCGCCGCCTCGGCCCGAAGCTGTCGGGGCAGCCCCTGCGATGTAGTGGGGCGGCTCTCTCGCTCTGAGCCTTGGGCCCTCTTCTTTCCGGATCTTGGCTCCCGGTTCCTTTTCCTTTTTTTCCCCCTTCGTTTTTGCTTCCTTTACTCACCTGTAAAGTTTCAGGTGAAACTGACTCACAGACTACTCCACCGTCAAAGAGGGTGGCGCCCTTTCCGAGTCAATCTCCAGTTAACTCTTAATTCGCTGCTCGGCCGGCAGCTGCGTCCTGCCCTTAAATAGCATTCAAGAACAGACAAAGGGCTTCTGCCAGGTGACAGGAAGTGAAATTCGACGCCCTCGCCTCAGTCTTTCTTAGTTTTGACTGCAGGAGAGAAGCAGGGGGACGGAGAAGCAGGGGGATGGAACAGCCAGGTTTCTTTCCCCCCCCAAAAAAGCAGAAGGGCCAGAGTTCATAAATTAGTTCACCCAAGGGGGAGGGGACGACCCGGGAGCTCTATTTATTTCTGCTTTTGCGATTGCTTATGCAGGATGTAGGGAATAGGTTTTTGTGTAAGAAGGCATAAAGATTGCCCAATATGCTTTTTAGATATATAGGACAATCTTTATTAGAAACAAAGGACGGGGGTAATAAAGGCATCACCTTTATCATCATCATCACAGATAAAAAATAAACCCACGTGTTTTTAATTCTAGTTCAATGTAAAAACAGAAACATCAAAATCTATCTGAATGTGTTCATGAAAAGGCAGGATGCAAATGTCACATACTTGAGCAAGTTCACCAAACAAATATAGAAAGCCGCCAATTTAATCCTAAATCTTTACACAAAGTCGATATGCTTGCCTGACCACTACAATCACAATCCTATTTAAAGGATATAATTCTCATTTATGTATTTATTTAAATTTGTTACAGCCATATTTTCCATGTTGCTGGAGGAAAAGAGCCCATTAAACAAACTAGCAATTCATTTTGAGTAGGTCAATATGTATTAGAAGAACGGAGCTATCTAAGGTGTGATAAAAATTGAGTCCAAGGCAGATAGATGCTCAGTTTAGCAGATCTAAAAGCGTTATACACTACCTGAGTCTGTGTTATGAAATATTCTTTCAGCATTTCTTTTATTTCTTAATTCAAATTTTCTATATTGTGATCCATGCATTTTTTTCACCAGACATATCAACTACAGTATTATCACAAATGAATGGCTTAAATATACTTGAAACTGTCCCTGATAGATTACATTTTCTTTGTTTGGGAAAAAACATATTTATATGTTGTTTCTCTGGTTAGTTTACAAATTCAAATCTTCCAGGAAAGAAATAGTAAAATATCATAAAGTAGTAAAATATCATCTCCCACCAATACAATTTCCCCCCAAATTCAATTACACTAAACCAGGACATGATGAGAAATTAAAATTGGACTGATATTGTTTTACATTTCTCACCTGAGATATTAAACAAGTATCCTGTCTTGAATAACTGCCACGTGAGATAAATTAAAAAGAAATATTGTCTGTTGGAATTAAGCAATTGCCCTATATTCACCAAATTATGCTGCTGAATGTATTATAAATAGCATTACAACTTTCACGATACATTTTATTTTTAGAAATCTTATTGCCTCTAATAATGGTTTTAATACTGAGTTAAAGTATTATCAAACCTATTTTTACACACACCCCATATGCAAAAACAGTGTAATTTTAGCTGGGCTATAAGCATTTTCAATCTAATGTGGTTTCCATATGTGACAATAATTCTATAGTGATCTTTAGAATCTAAAATTTTATTGTAAAAATCTTTCATGTTAGCAGTGGTGGGTTTCAAAATTTTTTAGAACCTGTTCTGTAGGTGTGGTCTGCTTTGTGGGAGTGGCTTGCTGGCCATGTGACCAGGTGGGAGTGACTTGTCAGCCATGTAGCCGAGTGGGAGTGGCTTGGCAGTCATGTGACTGGGTGGGCGTGGCCAACTTGTAAAATGTGGTCAAACTCACTTAACAACGCTCTGGCTTAGCTAGCAATGTTGGCTCAGAAACTCTGGCATTTGAAGCACGCAAGTCTTAAAGCTGTCAAGTTACAAGACCCTTGCACCCCTAACCCTTTAGAAAAAAAAANATTGGAAGTCTTTAAGAAGATGTTGGATAGCCATTTGTCTGGAATGCTATAGGGTTTCCTGCCTAGGCAGGGGCTTGGACTAGAAGACCTCCAAGGTTCCTTCCAACTCTGCTATTGTATTGTATTGTATTGTATTGTATTGTATTGTATTGTATTGTATTGTATTGTATTGTATTGTATTGTATTGTATTGTATTGTATTAACTGACAAGATTCCAAAAGTCCAAAGGAGAACAATATTATTTTTTTTAAAAAAAGGAAGGAAGGAAGGAAGGAAGGAAGGAAGGAAGGAAGGAAGGAAGGAAGGAAGGAGGGAAGGAAGGAAGGAAGGAAGGAGAGAGATCTGGGAAATTACAGAATTCTCAATCTGGCATCTCCACTGGGCAAGATCCTCAGGCAGATTATTAAACAGCATGTTCATGAGCACTTTGATAGGAATGCAACAACTAACAAAGCCAAAATGATTACAAACTAGTCATGCCAGTCTAATATTATCTTCTTTGATAGATTTACTAGATTAATAAATCAGAGAAATGCCACAGACAAAGAGTACTTTATTTCAACAAAGCCTGACGTAATATTAATGACATGATAAAATACGGGCTAACTGAGACAATGGTTAAATGGATTTTAAAGCTGGAGAAACCTCATAAATTCCTCATCATCATCATTCTGGAGAATAGTATTAAATCACAGAATTCTTGGGAACTTCCATGAGGATATTGATGTCTTTTGCAAAGCATCTTCTTACAATAAGTGGTTATTCACTTTCAGGAATTAGAAATTTCCAGACAAGTCTTTACTAGAATGTGAGACATTCCACTGTTCATGAACTGCAAAGAGGGGACCACAGATGAATTGACTATCTAACTTATGTGTCATGTTCCTCTTTGAAAGAAATGTCTGCTTTCAGTATTATAGCATCAAAATGATCACTTTTGTAGAATGTGCTATAAATTTTGCATTATTAAAGATAAGATAAGGAACCAATTATTTTTCCAGATGCTGAGTTATCAGCATCCTGCATGTTAGCCTGAGTTACCTGGAATTTCAGGCTGACAGAATCCAGAAAACTGTAGGCCTTTCATTCCTGTCATTAGATTATGTCATCTTGGGTCAAGATAAGATGCAGCTGGTGTCATAGTGTTATTAGGAATGAAAGGAATGAAAATCTAATAACAGAGACAGACAGATTGGCTGGTTGCATCCATAAGGAAGTTTTCTGAATAGCTAAAGACTCCTTGAAAGTCGTATGCCTCTTTTCTTATCCCAACAAGGAGGTTCCTGGCTGAGTTCTTACATTTTGTGCTGAAGCACAGGCCTTGTAGTGCTATTTTGTGGTTCCCAAGGACTCCTATCATCATATTAGCAAATCTCAAACAACAATGGTCCAAATTTCCAGCAGGTTTTTTTTTGCAACTATGTCTCTAAAAAAGTGTTAACACTCCAAAAATTAATAAGAAGGTTTTTTTTAAAAAAATCAATGCATATTCTTACTGTTGTGAGATTACTATGTCGTTGCCTTATCCTGCTCAGGCATCTCAAAAACAAATTAACAAGAACCTGGTCCATAACTGTAAAAGACTTATCCACCCTTGTAGCAAGCCATTTTTTAACCATAGTGTGTTCAATTTATTGATAATATTAAGCAAAACATGTAAGACTAAGCCAAATATTTTTAAAAATCTGATTATTGTATATATAATGTCCAAATCCCATCTAGATTGTGAAAAGAAACCAAGTCATATAGACAAAAACAAAGATACATGAACCTATGTACCACAAAAAAGTAAAGCGTTGTGGATATGCTAGCTGTTTCTCCTGATATGGATGCTAAAGTGTGCCAATCCATTGTACAGGTAGTCCTCGACTTACAACAGTTGATTTAGTGACTGTTCAAAATTACAACGGCACCGAAAAAAGTTATTTATGATCATTTTACACACTTGCAACCATTACAGCATCCCCATGGTCCCATGATCAAAATTCAGATGCTTGGCAACTGGTTCACATTTATGATGATTGCAGTGGCCCAGAGTCATGTGATCACCTTTTGTGACCTTCTGACAAGCAAAGTCAATGAGGAACTGTGGCAACAAAGGTTGTAAAATGGGGCAAAACTCACTTAACAAATGTCTCATTTAGCAATATAAATTTTGGGCTCAATTGTGGTGGTAATTCAGAACTACCCATATAACTATCACAGTTGCATTCAAGTTTCGCAAGATACCAACCTTCTCATAGTTCCATGGTTCCAGAAGTTGCATAAGTATAACACTGTTTTGAAATCCTTTTGCTTATTTAGTTTGCTTTGACATCATTTCTGTTATTGCACTTCTACTCAAAAAAGGCAAAGTTACTTCCAACTTAGATATCATTCCACCCTTGGAAGTCTGTTTTTACAATATGTATGGTAACTCCAGCAAGGTTATTATTTGCGGAGATGGAAAAGTTTGGAAGTACCAACAGTGAAGGAACAGTAAGTGAAGATGATAGAATTTGCAGAAATGGCAAAATTGACTTGTTTGGGGAAAAGACAATGAGTACATCTATTACTAACTGGAGACCCTTTATAGACTTTTGTTCAAAATATTTAAAAAACCGAACTAGTGATTTATGGATTTGATTATCAGAAATAGTAAAATAAGGGAAGAAAAAATCATGATGTAACTATAAAGTGGGAGGAAAGATGATAAACTTATTTGTAATTGCTGTAAAGAAGGTCAGAAACCACTTTTTAATATTTTTTTTATTTTTCTTTCCTTTAGTCACCACTTTCCTGTATTTTTTAAAAAAATTTATATTGTTTTTTTAACTATGTATAAAATTCTTCAATAAAAAGTTATATATATATCCACCCTGTTGGAGTTTTTTTGTGTAGTCACCCTTTATACTTCTTCAACTTTGCTTTTAAAGAAGAGATGAAAAATATACCGGCTTTCTTGTTTTGCAGCTCTACTGTTTCCACCCACCAGATTAATTACCTTGGTGTGTGGTGGCTTTCAAATCACTAGGGCAAAAGGAAGAG